TACTTCTTTTCTTTTATTTGCAAGAATATTACTCTACTTTTTAAGAGAATCATATGTGGTCGATTATACGCTACTCATGTTTCTATCTAGAGAATCTTATCAGAATATAAAGAGGAACGATTAGTTCATTATTGAAGCATTTGTATTCATCAAATCACTATATGTAATGATTTGTTTCGTTTTTATTTTGCCACAGTACATTGCTGTTTCTCTTAATACAGTGCTACGTAGATTGCAGTTGGATTTTTTACACAAAGTATTCAGCAACCCATGCATATAGTTAGTTTATTAAAATGTTGAATAAACTCACGGATGAACGCATTGAAATTTCAAACTCGAGAGTTTAGGAATAGTAATAAAATGTTAATAGTTCGGAAAGGGAGAAAACTTTTCTTTTTCTTACAATATTATTACATGATTCCATACGACTGGTGCGGTTCAACAAAGCGTATGCATAAAAAATTTAAAAGAATGTTTTGTTTGAAAGAAAATTTCAACAAGCTGCCTATAAAATATCAAAACAACTCGCATTTTTTTATGAACAAGAAACGGTTCATCTTTCCAGAAATTTACCTTTTTTTGTTTTTACTGTTTTTATTACTTTAAAAACATGAAAATAACAAACGGTGCAAATCTTTTTAAAAAATGTCAGATTCTGTGGCATGATCTTAACAGCTTCTCAACCTATGAATTCCGTTTTTTTTATGGAAAGGAGTAATATCTCAACTAAAACTCTTATACGATATATATTTTTCCAGAACGAATCTAAGCATGAAGCAAAGCAAAAATCGAACATTTCTAACAAAAAATGTTTTCAACTTTTTTGTACCAATGAAAAATTTGTTTCTCATTTTATTTGAACTATATAGACCGAGTTCTAATAAAAAACTTTACCACAATGTAACATATCAAAAGTTCTATTGATATCAGGTTAAGTAAAATACTCCAAAACCATTCTTGACTCTTCATTTTTAGAAAATTTCCCACGTATACAGTCTCGTTGAGAAATAGCTATACCTTGATATAAAAACCTACAGTAAATGTAACTTCGAATATACCATTGGTATGAGCGATTTTTTCCACTACGAGAATCATCATTAAATGTGTGTTTTTCACTTCATTACTGATTGAAGAACTTTAATGAAAAATAGAAAAATGATTTTGTGTGATGGCAAAGTAGCAAAAACGTTTTCATAGAGACACTCTATTATTACTGTTTTCTCCTTCTGAGATTCATTTTGGAAAAATATGTTCAATACAAAATCTGTACTTCGAATATTATTCTTTCTAACAAAATTTATGGATTCAGACATTGACAATATGGTCTAAATGTGTGCAACATTTTTCGAAAGACTTTAACATTGTTCATCATGTTCATTCAACGTAACGTCAAACGCTTCATTTAATGAGATACGTTTGGACTTGTTCACATGTAATAAAATCAAACAATTTTGGAGCATAAACAGGTGCTCCTCAACAAAATCTGTTCTAACTAATGCCTAAAGTATATCAACTTTGCTTCGCCTCAGATTGTACCTTAAATCCTATTTTATTTTAGTTTTTATATGACGAGAAGAAAAATTGCATATTCTTGTAATCTTCGGCAACACAGAGGCTGAGAACGATTACGTTTTCAGAACACAAGGATGTTTCATTTCTTTTCTTTAGTCAAATGTTCTCCGACAAATGTATTTTCATCAACTGGAAAACAGTGGAGATTTCATTTTTTGAGGTTCTCTGTTTCTGTTTGGGTAAAACGAATAATATTACAACGGGTTTCTTTAGTATTTTCAGTTGATATTATTTTTTTAAATGATAATAAATTCACCTTTCGAAGTGAAGATGTTCGAATTAAACATAGGCTAATTGCCACCTCAGTTTAGTTCTTTTGCAACAGTGGCAGCGGAATGTATAGGCCCGATGAGGCTTGAGTCTTACTTCATTTTGGCTTCTGTAGGCTCAGCTTCGTCAAAATTTTAAATTTAAAACTTGGTCACTTGTATGCAAACTCAAGTTCGTTTGTAATAAAAATTTTATTCTATCGTAAAAAATAAAATATACGCCAGTTTTTGTGGATGTTTTATTGAAGAAAAGAAAAAAACTTGAACATACCATAAACACAGTAACTTTACGGTTCATAGTGACACTTTTTGTTTACATGGAATGGTGTGCACATGAAGCGAATGATAGAGTTATGCAATAGCATGCGCAAAAACAACTAAGAGAATCTTCAGATATCATTATCTCTTTTGTGCGTAGAATTGTTCATTCCATTAACTTTGTGTTGCGAAATGTATAGTCCTTAAAATTTTCTAAAACTTGAAAAGTCTGAAGAATTTGATTGCTTACCTTATTTTGCTATCAACTTATCGAATTTGACAACCGTATCAGTATGATATACTTATAATTTTAGTTTACTTACTAATAAAAATATGATATCCTACTCATGTTTATCTATATTAATTGTATAGAGAATGTTTCTGGGCATGATTCAAATTGAACCCTCGTAAATTATACAAGTTGTGAAGATTTTTATCAGAAACAACATACTGACACATTATAAACAATTATTAACATGCTTCAAACTCGACTTACACAAAACAAAATTCAGATTATTATGTAATGTTGAAAATTTATTCTTAGTATAGCTAATATACCACTTGATAATTCACATTCGAATGAGTATATTAAAACAATTGAAGATTTTTGTCATGGTGATATTGATTTTTGACAAATTGAAAGGTGAAGCAGCTATGGTTTCAGGCTTTTTTTAAAGCTGTTATCAGTACAAATCGGATGGAGATAAAAGAGATCACGGAAATTTCTACTATTTAAAGACTTGCGTGGCCATTCTGTCGTGGCCAAAAAACACAAAAAATCTTCGATAATAGTTTCCACGGTGAATGTGAAAAAATAATTCTGTTTGATGTTTCCTACTCACAATTTTAAGCTCTTCAAAACGACACAAAAAAGTCGAGGATATAATGATTTGCGACGGAGAAAACTACAACATATTCGTCGTAATCAAAAAGCTTCGTGAACAAATCTGATTACGGCGAATGTGCCGCAGTTTTCTTGATCGTAGATCATTCTGTCCTTGACTTTTTTGTGTCATTTTGAAGAGCTTAAAATTCTGAGTAGAATATATCAAACAGAATTACTTTGTCACATCCACCGTGGGAACTATTGCTGAAGAATATTTATTTTTTTTGTCACGATGAAATGGTCATGCAGGTCTTGACTACTACTTGTCAAATATTAAACATGTATGATATTGGTAAATAAATGTTTCAAAAAATTGATAAATTAATTCGACTTCACCTAACTATACCAGTAACCACCGTAACGGCTGAAAGGGCCTTTAGTGTATTAAATCAAGTGAAAGATACATTGCGAACATCTATGACTCAATCATTGTTTATTGGCACATGTTTTTAAAGAAAAACTTGATGTAATAGGCCCAAATCAAATTATGTCACTATTTATATCCTCAAATGAAAAGCAGACAAGCCTTTTTAAGATTATTGTCCTAATGAAAAATAAATTAGACTTGTAAGTTTTTGAAATCTTTATCTTTCAGCAAACATTTTGAAACTATTAGTAGAAGACAGAACAAGATAAATAATCTTGTTTTTCTAACAAGAGCGGCACTAAACAGTCTGAAGCAGTATATCAGCTGGAGTGCTTTAAGAATCCCTGCGCTCATATATGAGAACCTATTTTGAAATACAAAATAAACTTAGACTGAACCTCACTTAATTTTAAAACGCTCCACCGCCCCTGCATTAACTGATGCTGTAGACTATTCAGAGGTCTCAGGTACGGGCACAAGTGAGGGTGGGTGTGGGTGGTGTGTGAGGTAGGTGGGTGTAGATGAGGGACAATATTATACTCACACTCACACCCACACCCTTAGGATGTGAATCAATCAATCTTCAGATATTCAAAAACGAAAAATATCAAGAGGAATGCCAATTAGATTAAGAAAAAACATAGGAAGAAATTCGTTGGGTTACTCGCGATGATAAATTATAGTATTAGTCGTTTTTATTCTATTTTCTACGGAAGTTTTTTTTTCTTATTTGCATAAGTCGTATTTTATTCTTTCTAATCTTTTTGACAAATATTTTGATCTTATCTCTTCTCTATGAAATATCAAACATGATTTTCTTTCTATTTCAAATTTTATTTCAATATCTGACAATAATCAATAGATTTTTGCATGAGAAAAATATTCTTGTAATTTTATATGTTCTACTATCTTACCAAACACTGTAAGACGAATGATTTTAGAACAATTAATACGTGTTTCATCTCTTGTAAAATCGTTGGTTACTTTTTTTAACGAATTATAACATACACGAAGATGAACATCATTTAGTAAACATATCTTTGCCTTGTTTAAAAATTCGTCAAGATAATCTTCATGAGTTTTAACAAGATCAATTTCAACAAGATGAGAATATTTAATTATTGGATGTTCCAGATGATTATTATGTTGTGGTTCATAATTATGTATAGTTAATTTTGTAACAAATGGAAACGATTGAGTAATTCGAAGAAAAAAGTCATGTTCGAAAGGATGATCATCATATAATGATATTTCACGAACAGATTTAAATAATCCACCCGGAAAATTATTTGCTATATTATGATAAAATGTCCATGTATATGGATATGAATACACATGACAATAGAGTAGTTCTGTTCGTGAAAAATAATCAACACTTGAAATAATTTGATTATTTTTAAAGTTTCGAAATGAATATTTAATATCTTCGTTCAATGGTACATTAATCAGTTGATCAAGAGAAATAACTGAACAAATGTTAAATGTGAATTTGTTTAATCGTGTCATATGATTAACGAGATTATTTTCCAAATTATCACCATCAATAATTGGTCCATGTATACTAATAAAATACAAGCTAAGTTCTTCCAAATTTGTCATCCTTTGGAATAGTGGTACCAAAATATCATCATACATGTATGTTCTATCTTCATGGATTAGCGAAAAGTATTTTAAATTGGGTAGTTGCTTCTAAGAACACGAAAGAAAAAGTAATTTATATTCGTAAATATTATTTATTCATCGAAAAAGAGATTAATACATGCGTAGCTTACATGGTTGCCAACTATATTTCCATCATACCTATTATAAGGCAGAATCGTAACATAAAACGTATGCAGTTGATTGAACTGACCATCAAGGAGACAGAGACAATCTAAGATATTTTTTACTACAACATGTAATTCTAATAAATCTGAAGAGAATTCAGTTGAAGCTGTACTCAAAAATACTAATTGTTCATAATTAGAATATGAACTGAAATTCAAGTATCGTAGATTCTTGAATAGAATACAGATTCTAATAAATATAAATATATTATTGTCCTGTGTTGTATATCCTAATTCATCTATTCGCTGTTTACGCGGTTTCAACTTGATAAAAATTGATGAAATTTGATTTTGAAATTGATTAACTAAATAGCTTCCATCTAAAGAAAAAAATAAAAATGTTCTATTAAATTATTTTCTAGTTTTTATTTTGTTTATTAACTTCAAAATATTCTATTCTCTTTTCTTTTTTCATAAAAATCAATTGTTCAATGATCGTCAATTAAATTCTTTAGTAGACTGTAATGTATTGTCCAAACTATGTTTTTTTATCTCAATCTTCTATTTCATAGTCTAGAATTTCTATTTTGAGAATGAAAGAATTATAATTGAATATACTACAAAACAATATTTGTTTTATTTTAACTGATATCTTTATACGTTGAATTTTTTCCAAAGTGATATCTACCAATTAATGTTAAAAATAAAAACTATGCCTGTAATAATCAAATTCTGATTATTTAAAAAATATTTTCAAATAAATTTGCCTTGTATAAGTAATCATTGAAAGAGTATAGAAGAAAAATATCTTACGACGGAAGAGTGTACTGGCTGTTTCAGGTTCAAAGTCATATAAATCAAGAGCATGTAAATTAGGATAGTTTGTTACCAGAAGAATACGTTTAATAAATGATGATTCAATACTAAGTCGTTCAATTTTATCATTGATTTTAGGTAAAATTTCAAGAGAAAATCGATCAAGTATTATATTAAATTGATATGATGACCTATGAACATATTTTATTAATGATAAATTTCTTGTAAAAATTCTATCGTAGAGAATTGTATCAAGTCTTTGATTAAGGCCCATGAAAGAATAAAGTACATCGCAATTGTATAATTTTTGGAAAATAATCAGAAGAATTTCATCTGGTAAATCCTCAAGTTGAACACCTGAATGTTCCATATTTATGCTTGTCATTCGTTTTTTTCTTGCTTTTCTTATGAATGTATATCTATATTCATCTGTTCTATCTGACCGATGTCGTCAATGAAAACAATGAGCATTTCTATGTTTAGTCTAAATTTACTATCAATTAACGAATAACCGATCGAATAATTTTTTTTTCTTCTTATTTAACACGTACAGGTCAAACACGGTGAAAAGTGAATGAGATGAATTCTATTCTAAATCAACAACTTCTACATGCCAAGTAGTTCAATCGCCAATGAGAGCGGAAACAATGTCTTTCTGTCTAATGCCGAGAAAATGCCCGTGAAAAGTTCATATTTATTCCGGAATCCAATAAAATCATAGGTGTCATATTTTAGGTGTATATGGTTTGATAAAAAAAGTTTGTATTACATAAGAGACGATACGTTTGATTTCTTATTGGAAAAAAGTATTAGGCATGGTTGGTAGATTAACACTAGTTCACTTAAAACAGGGTTGCTATTTCTTCCACTATTTGGCCTTTCTCCTGATTTTTCCACTCTCCGCATTCTTTCCGCTTTTCAATACAAGAATAAAACTCGCTTTCAGGGTGTGGATGTGGGGTGTGGGTGTGGGTGTGAGGTGTAAGTGGTGGGTGGGTGTGGGTATGGGTGTTGCGGAAGAAAAGAACAATACCCACACCCATACTTGAAACTTTGTATAGAATGAGGTCTCAATGAGAGTGGTTTATTGTGAAAGTTTCAGACCTATTCCTTGTTCCTGTCCTAAGATACGGCTATGGTAACCTAATGTCACTTGCAGAGGCATGTTTTGGTGTTCTTATTTGGGTGTGGGTGTGGGACATAGTAATACTCACATCTACACCCCGTTTTTATCAACAACACTCGATAGAAATGTAGCGATGCAATATCTAGGCGATACAAAAAATTCAGACAACAGACGGTGATGAAGAACTTGTTATCTTCGATATTGATGCTGATCCAAAGTGTAGAAGTAAACCATTTGCTATTATTGAAGAAAATTCTGCGATACCTAAAGAACAAGAAGTTCTTTTCGATGTTGGCTCAATCTTTTATCTGAAGAGCGTTCACTGTGAAGAACAGGATGATGGACATTATCCTATCTGGATAATGAAAATGAGATTGAGCAACGAAGAGGAACATGAATTAAAATATCTTTTTCATCGCTTACGTTATAATTATGCAAACAAAGAGGAAATTGAGTTACCTCTCAGTTCATTTGGTTTACTTCTTTGCAATATGAAAAAGTACAAATTTGCATCCAAGTTATTTCGACATATTCTACTAGAACTTCCACCTACTAATCTTGTTGAACAAGTACAATGTCAACTAATCATGGGCAACATTGCAAGCGGTCAACATCATTATGGGCAAAGCTTGCATTGGTACAAAAGATCACTTACAACTTTTGCAACGATCAATTCGAAGACTCATTGTGCGGAAGTTGCATCTGTGTATGATGAAATTGGTCATGTTTACGTAGTTAGAAAACAATACAGACGAGCTCATATATCATATCAAAAACCACTGTCCATGTGGCAAATGAATTCCAATGAACATCAAGATCAAGACCAATAACACATAGCATTTTGCTACATGCATGAGACTAGCGTCTGTTTAGCCGAAGGTGCCTTCGAAAAAGCAAGTGAACTATCCAGAAAAGTGTTATGTATACTTTATAAGTATTATTTGAATACTCCTATCCATCCTAGTTTAGGTTCTGCTCATTGTATGCTTGATGATGTACTCGGGGCATTGCAGCTGTTTAATCTTGCCATTGATCATTATATTAAATCCTTGATCATTGCTTTAAAAATTTTGTCTCACGATAATAGCGTTCTTTTCTATGTCTATAGCAAATTACAAGTAGTTTGTGAAAAAGAAAAAAGAAACTTTGACCAGCTATTGGCAAACAATATGATTCTAGTAATAAAACAAAAAAAATTCGAATTGATTATTTCAATAAAAACAATAGCACGCGCTA